CGTGTATGCAGTGTGTGTGTGTGTGTGTGTGTTTGTGTGTGCCAGGGCAGCATTCAAGAGTTTATCTGTTTCCTCTTCCTGCTTCTTTATCATCCGGTCACATTCCAAAGCCATGACCTCCCATTGCATTCCCAAGCAGGCTCTGGCTCTCTATTTATTGTTCCTCCTCCTCTTTATTCAACACCCCAGTCTTCTGCTTCTTTATCTGTTTCTTTCTTTTATTTTTCTTTCGAGAGTCTTGGGAACAGCAGCGAATGCGAAGCTTAAAGGGAGAAGATCAAAGCACGCTGGAAATCCAAAATGCTCGGTCACTCAGTGCTCACGTGGGTCGTGGCCTCGCTGTCTCTCAAGGTCAGAGGCATCTCTTGAATAACCCAGCAGCATTTCATGTGAGCGCTAAAGACATATCAGGTTCACCTCGATTATTTTCCCATCAAACATTACCCTTCAGGAGTGGGCTCTCAGCACCACTTACTGATTCTTCACAAAGAAAACACACACAACCACACGCCTGTATAATCTCTCCTCACACCCCCACCTCGAGCCCCCTTTTGTTTTTGCTTGTGTAAAATTACAGTTGTACAGGTGTCCAGCCAGCAAAGCGACGCTGACAGACAGGCATGCAAGAGGACAGCCAAGCACTTGTGTTCACCACAAAGATCTTTCTTGTCTTACAACTGGCTGTCCTGCCCAACATGTGGCTTTGGTTACAAAACCTGCTCTTCCAGCAGCAGCCCCCCCTTCATCTCTGCGAGGAACACAGAGGACGACGGAAGGTGCTTTTCCGAGATGAGCGGCAAAGTGGCTTCCTTTTTCAAAGGGCCGCGGATGTACATGGCTCATGGATTCCTGTGTTAGCTGTGAGATAGCGCGGCACCTGGAGAGGCCAGACAGGAAGAAAGGACAAGAGACGAGAGGAGAGAGATGACAAAAAAGAGAGAGAGGAAAAAAAGCCAGAGAGAAGCCGCTTAGATGCGATGCCAGAGAAGGGACAGGCAGCTCTCTCAGATTTCAAATGTCCGTTGTGTGAAATTGTGGTTTCAAACGCTACCAATCTGACTGCTTTCCCTCCCCCTGCCCCTCTTCATCCTGCGCTCATCATCAGCACATCATAAAACGTGTAGATTAGTGCTTTCACAAAAGAGATGACTGCTGTGAATTCCTCTCTTACCTGTAGGCTTTCCACAAAATCCCCTCTCTGGAATAAACCTCCAGCATTGTACTTTTTTTTTGTTTTTGTTTGAGCTGCTTTTTCTTTTTCCCTGGAACCAAATATGAAACAAAACAATATTCACATGTTTATATTGCATACAAAGACAAATGAAACAAAAGCAAATCTTTGTTCTTGAAGCTCGGGACAAGGGTAAAACAAAGGGCCTCTGGTGATTGACACATCCAGAGAGTCCCTTGCCAATCTCAGGCACAATCCATTTCCTCAAGCCAAAGTGTTCTCTTTGTGTGTTGAATATGTTTTGGAACATGCCGGCCATTGATTGACATGGGCGCAAGGGCTGGTAAAACATTTCTGTGGTGTGAAGCAAACAACGGTCCGTCTGTCACTCCGCCTCAGATGTTTGGCCTGGGGGGGTATACGGATATAATAGTGGTACAAAAATCTGGACATTTTCACTCTTGTTCTCATTCCCTCTCTTCCCTTTCACTCTTTCTAGCTGCTTTAAAGCTATTATTTATATTTTAGGCATGATATTATCTTCAAACCTTGTCTATGTTCTGACTTTCCACGCTGATCTGCTGTATACTTTACACACTTAGAGTACAAATTGTTAAATTTCACTTGCTGATTTGATCAAATGCATTAAGTTGCACAGGTTTTACATCTGGGTTTGATGGTCTGAGACGTTCATAGCAACTAAAATGCTGGCCCTCATTCGGATGCTCCTCTAGAGGTGAAAGTATTTCATATTCTCTTCAGACTCCTTGCTTTATGGTGACAGTAACGTTGACGAAACCATGCGAATACACTGATAATTGTCTCATTGCATGTGTCCGAACACACACCTTACACGTGGCTTTTGAGTAAACACTATGTACAATGATAGTGACATATTTATACTTGTTTAGGATGTTGAAACTTCCTTTTTTCCCTGCAAACAGTTGGAAGGCATAGTACTGACACCCAGCGCAAGTCACCACCTTGCACCTTTCTGCCTTCAAATGAAAACAGCAGAAAAAAAACGCTGTATATATAAAATGTCCTGATAGTTGTGTATTTCCAAAATGTCATATGGATTGATTCAACACCGGCATTACAATTTTAATCAGTGGTGTAGAACCAGGTGTTAAAACGCATGCGGCAGCCCTCCAGGCCATAAGAAATTGGACAAGGCACCAGGAAATTGTCTCTCCTCCAGAAACAAGTGTTTTGTGATTGTTTACCCCATGTCTTTAAATTGCATTTCTTCCTTTTTAATTTAAGCACCCCAGCTATGGGATTGAAGGAAGGAAAGAGAGAGGAAAAGGGGTTGTAGGAGAAATAGGGGAAACCTTTTCCACTATTTTTTTCCCCCCTTTTTTTCTATCTCTCCATCCTTTCCAGTATTAACCCTGTCTGATGTGATTCCTGTCAAATGCAAATGTCACGACCTGATATGGTCAGCCCACAGGGCACTTTGACTACATGCTAGTCCACACCCAAATTAAAATATGAAGTGGAATGGTGTGTGTTTGTGCGCCTGAAAAATGTGCATGCGGCACGATTGTGCACGACTGCCTGTCCTTGACACTCTTGCAATTGCAAAAACCGGAGAACAAGGAGAAATCAGGTGTCATAAAATAAAGTACAGCCTCCCACATACAGCGCTGTTTCTCACACTATGCTTGACTACCTATATGAACATGTAGTTCAATCAATAGGTTTGCAAACGGGGAACTTTGAAAACTGCTGCGCACACACAATTCAGTTTAGAGAGTTCAGCACTGTGGTAAAGACGAATGATGCTTTTAGTTCTCACTATAGTACATTGCATTTGTATCAGCTTTTGCTCTCAAGAGTTCATTTATCTCCAAAAGGCTGTGATTTTATGTTATCTTACTGAACAACAGTACTTCAAACAATTGCTATTTCATCCCAATAAAGGTATTTCCAAGGCACACGCAGGTCCCATCTGTCATATACTAAAAGGTTTAGCTGCATAACTTAAGTTGTGTCTGATGGTTTATTATTTATGTGCCTTAAATAGTCAGCAGATTTTTTTTTTCTTTTTTTGTGCATGTGCTTTTGCTTTAGTAGAAACATAATATATTTGCATGACATCTATGGCTGCTAATAAGGAGACAGTGGCTTCTATTTTATCTTGAACAAAAGAAGTGGTGATGTCTGTGACAACATTTACTTTGGAGCTCTTCATGTTGCAAAAACAATGTACTGTGAAGTGTATGGACCACAACAGCAGTTTCTGTTTGGACACACAAGAACGCGTGCACACATATTGAGTGGGTGTGATGTTGAATCACAGCACTTCTGAAAGCACTGTGAGCTTTTCGCCACTAGAGGGAACTGTATTATCAGTTATCAACAACCACTGGCAGAGAGCAGGCACAAATATGCTAAATAGGATTAACAAGCATCTCAAAATGTGTAGGCCCTGGGTGTGAATCAATAATTTAGGACAAAAATTAATTAGTATTAATGTGGCTTACATAATATACATATTTTCAAATAGATACAGAATTTCTCGATGGATAACACACACACACACGCACACACACATACACACAATACTCACGTGGACACACTTTCCCTTGGCTGTCCAATAATAAACACCAATTCTTCTGACTCCCACTCTTCTGCTACATGAAGAGCTGGACACCAGCTCTAGTTCGCTAATAATAGGTATAACCTTTACTTTGTTCTAAGCAAAACAGACACACAGTACTGCCTCCCCATTAGATAGATAGATAGATAGATAGATAGATAGATAGATAGATAGATAGATAGATAGATAGATAGATAGATAGATAGATAGAAAAAAATGACAACAGACCCTATCCATATGATGTAAGATAATCAAACATACTGCCGAGCTAAATTATTTTGCTTATTTGCTTATTATTTTGTCTGCTGACACAGTGAGCAGCTGGTCTCTCTACAGCTGGATCTTTATCCATTTAGTAGTCATTTATATTTAGCACTTTTTTTTTGTTGGTATATATATTAAACTTCACGATTACTCGAAGTTTGACCACATCCTCCTTTTACTTCTCTCTCTCACACACACACACTGAACTTGTGACATTAATTTGTGGTTAGATCACAGTTTGTACCAACAGCTTCTTTTCTTGCTGTCAGATCTCAGAAATGAGTGACGGAAACACGGTTAGCTACATGCATTAGATATATTCCAAAAAAAAAAAAAAAATCCTATTCCATCTTTCATTGTTGCATGGATGAAATATGTCCTTGCATGACTTCTCTCATTATTATGTGCTACAATGTGGGGCAGTTCAAACGAACACTAAAATGTTTGTTAACATTGCTGAGTATTTATTGGGAATACAACTTAAAATATTCTAGATTAAAATGCATTGTTGAATTATATATGCTATTAGGCCTATGTTCTATTTTCCATTTAAGTTTAATATGACCGAAATTCACAATTTTACAGTTTAGCACTCAAGATTTTTTTTGTGCATGTTGTTAACAACATCTGCTTAATGCAACACAAAACAGCAAATGCTAATTTAAGGCTTAGATTAAAATAATTTGGGTAGTTTTGATTCACTTCACTTTATTGATGGTGTCAAAATATTTAAATATTCACATGTTTATTGTAGGGCTCTTCTGTGTACAATTGCTATATTTCCCCCATGTCTCGGCTCGGCCAATGATAGAAAAGTATTGCAAATTTACGCTAAAATGTGAAATTACGACGTTTGGGGTCGTTTTGAAGGCAGCATCGCATCGTGCGAGGGACAATGCATGGATATGGACAAGAAAGATGGTCGTGCGCATGCGCCGTGGCGGAGGAGAGGAATCGTGGCTCCGTTAGCTCCGTTAGCTAGCGGACTGCTCCGGTTGGGGAAGACGGTGTGGAGGAAGGTGTCCTGCGCACTGTAGGCGGACAGATATCGGCGACTTGAGATATCCCCGGCTAATCCTTGAGCTAACTATTATCCCTCCATGCTGTCCAGGAGAGGAAGATAACGCTAATAGCCCCGCACTGCCACCTCAATTAGCCAAGACTGAGAAGGGGGAAACTGCGTCTTGCGTGAAGAGCTTTTTCCTTTTACAGGCGGAATCAGTTTTTTTTTTTCTTGTTGTTGAACATATTAAAGCCTCGACCAGCGTGACTTGTAAGAATGAGGTTGCCCAGTAACAGACAGTGTGCGATGGAGGGAGACGGGAAGAAGATGGACCAAGCTCCTCCGGTCAGAAACCCTTTTGTGCACGTCTTGAAATTCAGCCCTCTGGAGAAGGCAAAGGTATGTTTGTGGGGGGAATTATTGAACTTGCTCTTGTACGGATACGCCAACATGCTGCTTTAGTTGTTTCTGTTCACTTTGGTGCTATACAGCGGCTCTGCTGTCACCAACATTGAACTCCCTGATTGCATGCAGTCAGCTGAGCTAGTGTTAGCTAGCCGGCTAACCTTAGCTACATACATGTTGCTTTCTCTCTGCTGTTCTGTTAGCTCAAGCGTCGCTCTATTGCTCCTGTAAAGGGACGGGAGGCTTTAGAATATACATTTTCAATTAGCTGCAGCAGCGTGTGTTTAAAGTATAACGTGTTCAAGCCGCCTGCCTCATTCAGCAATCCGCTAACAAGCCTCAGAAATGAAATACAGTTATTTGAGCATGGCCGCCTGTCCAGGAGGGGCCTAGCTTGTTGCTCCTTAACCGTTACCATGGCTATTAGAAACGAGAATTTTTTTTTTTCCCGGGAGTAGCATTAACCAAGATTTCATGTTGAGTTTATTCAATTGCACATGCCATTGGTTCTAAACAGGGTGCCGTTTTTTTAAGCTTGCCTGGCATCCCTCTGTCTTTGTTGGTTATCACGGTGCTACCACTCAACCAACACGTGTGGATGTGAAAGCTGCAGAAGACTGATGGGAAATTGACTTTTTTTTTTTTATCCTCCCCAATCTGCATCTGAAATGTCTTTTCCCCCAGTCCTCAAAGTTGGCACATGATTAAAGTTCTCATTTTTTTCCAGCTCAAAGTAGATATGCATCCCAGCTATCCGTCTAATCAGATTTAGAGCTTTCAGGCTTCTGTGCAAAAGGTGTTAATTGCAGGCTACTTCAAGCTTGCAGGTTTTCTACTTTCAGTTTCATTGCTCAAAACTATGGAAGGGTGTCATTGGGATGCAGCTTGCACAGGCATGGCTCAGATGCAGCGTTAATATAAAATGTGATTTTATATTAAACCGGTGTGACAGGTAGGATTGTGTCTTTTCTGCAAGTATTGCAACATGTTGCACTACACACAGGTGATGGAAACCTTCACTACTCACCATGTATACCTTTGAGTACTGGATTATCTTGTTCTTTAAAACTGGGACTGCCTATTAATTTAGTGGCACATGTGGGCCCTTTGTAGTTCACCTCATATGATCTCTCAAAATAGCTTCAATAGTCGGAGAACTGTGGGTGTGTGTGTGTTCGTTTTCAGCCATGAGTTTGCATTAATCAGGACATTGAGTGAATGCATCCTAATGTTTGAGAGCCATAGTTGAACATACAGATGCATTCTAAGTATCGGTGGACTCTCATCATACACAGCTTTATGATAAATACAGTAATAAATAAATAAATTTAAAGATAAATGAATACACAGCTCAGCTTGCACATTTCTTGTGTATTAATTGAGAGTAGTACACAGAGCATGCGGTATAATATGAGTGAATCGTGTGGACTGGGACACAGCTGTGAGGTATTTCAAGTCACAAAGTTCAGCCTAGTGAGAAACCCACAGTTTTATGAATGGTGCTGCTCTGCCGTAGCAGGTGTGGAAGAGTATCTTATTACACGTAAGAATAGTTACCAGGGAGGTTAACCTCTTTCCTCTTGGCTCGTTTCACAGATACTGAAAGGATAAGTTAGAATGTCAGGTGGATGTGAGTGAACAGAATATTTCTGGGTTTTTTTTCGCGCGTAGTGTGATTAATTCAAGGAAGCTGTTAATGTAGTAGCAAACTCTGCTTATTTAATTAAACCAGTCACTAAATCCAAGTTTTTTATACTGCTTTCTGATTGCATGTGTGCATTAAAGTTTTTCCTGTGAATTTAGCTGTCAAGCCATTTGAAACACTTAAAAGGAAAAAAAAAAAAAAGTAGAAATAACAAATAGGAGAGGTTGGGTACTTGAAACTGGTTTCTTACATACATGAAATTTCCAAGCCAAAGTGGGTCAAGAATTTTCTATTTCTGTTGTCACTGAGGTCAAATGTTTTTACCACGTTGCTCTGATCTGGCTTTCACATCCACAGCAGCATGAGGAAGACACAACCTGAACATAAAAACCAAAGACTAGAGACAAAAAAAAAAGTGATAGTTCTGTCTACCGGCTGACTGCTCAACAAACTAATGAAACAACAGAATTTGTTTTAGGTGTAATGTCGCAGTCACTGTAATGAAACCCGTGTATGGAAATATTTGTTTCTGTTGCATTGGTTTGCCACTAATGGACAAGATGGTGTCAAAATTGTATTTTGATAAGAAATGTAATTGTGTCTGGCTATAATTTATTTGTGAAACCATCTAAATCCCCCCACTCAGAGGGGTAACAGATTGAAAGAGGAGCAGATGAGGTTTTTCTGGATTATCTCAGGCCATGTTTGGTGTTAGACAATTGAGCTGTTGCTTATAAGTACAGGCTGAAGACATGCACTGCCAATACACTGTAGCAAAATTTTAAAAATATGTTTGTATCGAGTCAGGTACATGTTCTTCATTGTGCACAATTCTCCATAGTAGACCATACAATCGAAATAACAAGATTTCATGTGCTTCCTATAAATCTTGGCTCAACTGCGAAGGCTTGCAGCTACTCATTAGTAGGCTGTAACATAATTCAGTAGCCTGACACTTCAATCCCGCTCATGCAGCTTTTTTACCTTGATGAGCTAGCTAATTGATTGCAGCGTTGATTGGCAGATTCCTAATATGGCAACGTATCGCAGTGTTTTTTGTTCCAGATTTAGGTGCTTCTGCCTACATTGCAGACCTAAAATAGCTTCAGTTGGGTGTCAGAGGGCAGGCTGCTAATGTTAGTTAGCAGCTCAGCTTTGACAAGTCTAATCTGCATTTCTGTGCGATGTATCGATAAATCTAACAAAGAGCCAAATCTGTTTTGATGTTGCCAAAGCAGCATTGAATCAATCAGCTTATTCCCACAGTATATAGATCAGTGTTTCTGTGTGTTGGCATCAAAAGTGATGCATCTGAAGTTTTCCTCACAAGAGATGCCATACATATTCATCAGACAGCGTTTGAAGGTGCCATTTGGTCAGGTTAAGACCCCGGGTTGAAATGGTTCAATAGCTCCCAAGTATAGTGTCAATAGCCAGTGTAAATTACGGCCATTGAACCCTAAGGGTGTGGTTAAAGTGAAGCCTTTAGGGTCGCCACTATAAACTTGTCTGGCCCATTTTGATTTTCCTTCACTTCTGCAGTTGATGATCTTGTAGCTACTAGCTTGTAGCTTAGCTTAGTAACCTTGTAGAATTGGAGGGTACGGCAGAGAGACTCCTGTACAGCCTCTAATGATGAACAGATGCAAAAACTACAGCACAGCCTCAGGGCAAGGTTCTTTTTCAAAGAAATACCATTAATACATGTTTGTTTTTTCAACATTAAAAATACAGTATGTATAGGATACAGTGGAAAACGTGAGTAGAAACTCACTGGAGCATTTTAAGAGATGGACTTGGGACAAAGAACAAAAACAGAAATATGTTATGCTTGATTGGAAGCACAATGTATGGAGTCTGGAAAACCTTTTGGCTTTTACTCAGTAGGGATTTTAGCATTTTATCCAACGAGAAACCAGTATTAAAATTTGGATATTCTTGCTTACTGCGCTGAGAATTATGCAGAACAAAAACTTAGACATGTAGATTAAGAAGTCAGTCTTGATTTGCGTCCTAATTTGTGTCCACGGTTGGTAGCTACAATTGTAAAAAAGAGAGATAGTTAAGTTATTGTCCAGGAAGAATACATTAGTAAGAAATATTATATACTGTATACATGACAAGATACAAGATATTAAATGCTGATAAAATATGTATTAGTATTTACACAATAAATAGCTGTAGTCTTTTGCACAACCTGTTTGACAAAAGCTACTTGAAACAAATCCAGAAGGTCCCGATTTGGAACTACAAGTTGTTTCTTTAATGTATTTACATGACAGGAACACAGCTTTTACTGGGTGATTCTCAGCAGTGACTATCAGCACCAAGAGTCGGTTGCACAGGTTTGCATAAACAGTAATCACGCTTTAAATTTCAGTCTCTTATCTGAACAAAATGCTCATTTTGTAGAGCTCTGATAAGCCTTTCAAACTCATAGATGTATTACTATTGTATTTTATTATTTGAAATAACATACCCACACTAACCCAGACCTTTTTTTTTTAAACCCTATTTTTAGTTATAGTTGAGTAACTGACATTGATTAATAAGTAAATCAGTTTAATATTATTGATTCCCTCTTTTTAAGTGGCTGGATGAACAGTTTAGCTTCTTCCCTGTTAGTGTACTTGCACAATTTCAGTGTGAGATGTGAAGTACATATAAAATCAAGACGGTGTACAGGTGCTTTGGGGAATTTCCTATTTGTCTATATGCTAGTCAAAGCAACTTTATTAAAGAAAGAAGCTTCTCACCATCCTTAAAAGCCCAAAAGAAAGACATTGTTCAGGCTTGTAAGTGTGAAACATAAACAGTTTAAAATCTGCAAACTCAGACACACTTACCAATAAAACAAGTTCCAGTTCAAAAGTTCACAGCTTTCTCTTTTAGGAAAGATTTAGTTGAGAAAGGTCAATGAAACCTGAAAACCCACATTATTTTGTGACAGAGTTCAGTTTTGTGTCATTAAAAAAAAAAAACACTGCATACACCTACAGATATGTTCACACAGTTAAAGAAGACCTGACCAACTACGTGGTGGGTTACCGGTTGTGGAAAGCAGTTGCTAATAAATTCTTCTTGGTTTGACAGTGCATTCAGAGTTGAATGTACCTGAAGTCTAGTTTGTGGTTGGTGTGAAACTGCCATTGTTGCTGATTTATATTCACATACGAATGGCTTTCTCTGTCGGCGTTGAGGAAGCAGATCAGTAACTTGCGGCTCGCGACTGACTGTAACTGCCAGTTTGCTTTCTGTTAAGCATATCTCTGCTAGCTACACTTCTAATGTTGAGTTCTACTGTATTCAACTCGCCTGTGGTTTTGATGCCAAGTAGATTTAACTCAATTTACATTATTTACAGTGTTGTTACAAAAGAGGCCCTACATTAGCAGCCATAGAGTAATTCCCAAGTTGCATCTGTCCACATATATGTTAAGATTCCCCTTTGACTTTGGAGACTGTGATGAGCCTGCTGCATTAATTTAAAGTTGATGTTCAGTACAATGGCCCAATTCACTCCAACTAAAGCTAAATAACCTGCTCACTTTTGTAGCATTGCCTTTTAACTCTGAGTGGCATCCATGCCTTTTAATGCTTTGAATCTGAATGAATATTTTAACAACTGCATTATATGGAGGGTCTAAAATATTCCTGGCATGCCCCCTTTTACTTTAGCAGAAAAAAATATATACTGGTTCGAAAAAAAAACAAAACATCTTTTGTCCTTGTAGAACTGTCACATTTGTGTAAGAAGAGAGCAATGTGTGGTGGGAATGCATAATTATTCCATGTATCCTATGAGAATCTTGGGAAAATAAACCGTTTGGGGGCGTATGCAAGGAAAAAAAGAAACTGGGGTGGAGTGTCAGTGATTAATCAACTAATGTGGCATTTTGTTTAGCTCCCTAAACTCATGCCAAAGACTTGTTATTGCTCAGAGCAGCGTTATGTTTGGGGGAAAGAAAAAAAGAACAAGTGAAAAATGTGTTGCTTTTAAACTGACTGCCATACAAAAGACTCCAAAATTAGTTCTGTCTAGTTGCTTGTCAGTATTTTAAATTGCCTTATTTAAAGTGACTATAGTGTTAGACAAGTACTTTCCCCTGATAAGATAATCCAGAAAGACCTCAGTGGTTGCTATCAAGACAAATATTGAGACAAGATAAGGCCTGCTATCAGGGAGCGATAAGTCAACAGTCACCCCTGGATCCATGCAGAGAGGTGTCAGGTTTATCAGAGCCGTGAAGAATGAAGAAGTTATCATACGTGTAACTTTAGAGACGTTGTGCACTTGAACTCTTTTATATTGTCTTGTACTGAAGTCTTCCTGCGGGATTGTTTGGGTTTTGTATTGCTGAAACTGCTGTTGGCAAATGTGTTCAGAGACCATGCTGCAGACATTCTAGCCTTTATACAAAAGCTCCGTTTTGTGACATGCTGGAAGTTTATATTGCATACATTGTTCTCTTTTTTTTTCTTCACACCAATTGCTAATAGTTCCTTGCTATTCACAGGATCAAATCATCATTGTTTTCTGATGTTTTCCTGTTTTTGTGCTTTGTGTTGAAAATGTAATAAAATCAGTTTTTGACAAAAAAGTGCCAAGCCCAGTTTCTACAGAGTAAACATTTGGTACATTTAAACATTTCTGACTTCAAAGATTTAACAATGCAATGCATTTACAGAGAAGCAAGTTTAGTTAGTCAGTGACAGCTGTAATGCATCATTTGCTCATAAATCTAATAAAGATAAACAGATTAAGAAACAACACAGCTTCAAGACGCGTGTTCTGTTGTACTCGGGGTGTTATCATGATCACAAAAGTGTGTTTGTGGTCAGCCACAACTAATACATTGTGGAGGAAATGCTGCATAACCTTAAGTCACACTCAGACCAACTATACCAAGATGACTGATAAAAACACACACTGAGTTTCATGTGGTTCTTTAACTTTGTTCTTTTTGTCTTTTCTTCAATCTCTTACAGATTGCATTAATGACAGTCACACTATTCCCCATCCGTCTACTCATAGCTGCATTCATGATGCTGCTGGCCTGGCCTTTTGCCTTCCTTGCCTCAGTAGGGCGCTCCGAGACCACCGTCGAACCCCAGTGCCTCTGGAGAAGGTGGGTGCCTTGTACCGCTGTATCACACTCAGTAATATGAAGACATTCTTCTTAGAGAGGCTCATGTTTGAACTTGACATGCTGCAGTGGGTGAATGATGTGGACAATTACTCATACAATCAGCAAAACTGCCTACAGGATGACTAGAAAATCAGATTCCTCAAAATGCAACTTCAGTGCCAGTTTCCAAACAGCAACACTATGATCGTGGGATTTTCTTTTTAACTTTATCATTGTGACAAGCTGTTTCCAGTAACTGTCTGTTGTCTTCTGCAAGTGGCTGTATCACTGCAATTGTGACAAAGGAACTGAAATTGCTAACATGTCACATTTACAGGAGGCTTGGAAGATGTTTTTGTTGTTTATGCCTTAATACTTTCCCAAAGCTTGAAGCGGGAATGCGCTATATGCCAACATTAAATTATGTCACACATGTAAGTAGCCTACAGTGCTGTCTCATACCAGTTACTTTGACAAGTCTTCCTACAGTTAAACATAAAACAATTAACAGCATAAAATGACCAGATCAGCAATTGTCTTGACCTTGAGATAATTCTTATGTTGGCAGTTTTTCTTTTCTTTTCTTTTCTTTTCAGTTGTCCTTTTCCATTAGGAAAGGCATATTTGAAACTTAAACAGATTATGGTTTCCAAATAGTCAACGCCCAGGGCAATAAAAACAAACAGGCCAATGGGATGGACTCACTCCCATGGTCAAGAATATATCATGTTCAGGTGAAGGTCGTTATTGTGGGAGTTCAGATGAACAAGACAGAAAAAATAGGCGTTGCAATCTTTGCCAGCTTGACTCCTTGCTTGTTACGCCAGCTGACTATATCATCACTCACCTCCGGCGGTGTTTCTTCTGGTGGAGTGTTTCTTTGTCAATGTGATAGAAAAAGATTTAAGTTTTTCTTTTGATGGTAAGGTCATACTTAGAAACTTCTAAAGCAGAAATAGTTCTCTTTGTCTTAAACATTTGTCTCAAAAGTCTGCTCTCTAGTTTAAAAAAAAAAAAGGAGAGAGACTTAAAATACAAGCTGAAAGGTTGATGAACATCAAGGTGAAAAATGTCAGATTTTTTTTTTCCAGGAGACTGAGGTGTATACAAGGCTTTCACTTGAAACACGGGAGGAGCTTGGTAAGAGAATACTAAAAAGAAATAAATGGATGATTTTGAGTAAAGGTCGGATAGGATAGGAAAGAAAAGAGACAAGAAAAGGCAGAAAAAGACAAAGTGACTAGCAACCAAGCTGTTAATATGAACCAGAATAGTTCAAGTTACCTATTTTCTGTGTCTAGTTGATGCAACCCACACAGAGTTCATTTCAGTTGCAGTGCTACCTGTTAATTTTAATGTTGTCATATTCAATAGAGGGACTGTTGATCCAATATTTTGTTTCTTGATGCTTCTGCTCAGAGTTAGAAAAATTCCAATCCTTTCCAGTCTCTTCATTAGAGAGAGGCCAGTCATGTTTTTGAATGAAGTTGTGAGATAAAACAGGACCTTCCCACAGGCTAGGCAAGGCGGGGTGAGACAGATTGGTCACACACACAGAGCCTTACAGGGTGTTGGTGTTATTTCATGGTGATACTTACCCTGTTTAGTTTTTACTGTAACTTATGACATTACCCTGCCTAACCTTAATCTTGCGTGTCCTTTGTGATTTTTGTCATTGGACATATGCGTCTATACATCAGTCATGTTGTCCAGTGTTGTGGATGTTGAGGATTAATGATAGCAAAGTATGCAGTGTTTTGAGAAGTGCCCCTGACATATGCATATTGTTGTTTCCAGACTGGTGGACATAATTCTGAGAATCATCATGCGGGTCATGTGGTTTGCGGGAGGTTTCCATTGGATGACTGTGAAGGGGCAAAGGGCATTGCCTGCAGAAGCACCCATCCTCACCCTGGCACCCCACTCTTCTTACTTCGATGCCATCCCAGTCACGATGACAATGTCCTCAATTGTCATGAAGGCTGAGAGCAAGGATCTACCTCTCTGGGGCAGTAAGTAAAAACCATATTAAACTGTCATTGTTAAGATCTGGGATCGAAACCGTAAATGCGTGATCTAAGGTATCCTATCTGAAAATAAAGGAAATCTTTCTTTATGTCAGCGTCCTGAATCTATATGCTTAGGCACAGTTGTTACTCAAGTTTTAGCCACATGTGGGGGAAAGTTTCTTTAATTTTGCAGAAAACAGGGGAACATCCTATCTGGTTTGCAGAATTTTTATTGGTTTTTTTGTGTGTGTGTGTGAATTGAAGTTAAATACAGCTTGGCTAATGTTCACAGCAAAGGTATACCAGGAAACAGCAATACACTTGCCTTGCTGTAGTGGAATCAAGAAATGTGTGGTGTGTCAGAAAGGTTCCAGGTTCCAGGACTGGTGTCACAAAAGATATATTTCAAACCCAAACTATGAGTTTTCCCCTTCAGATGATCAACCAGCACGTCTATAAAGAGGTCCTGCAGCTTTTCCTTCGTTCAGTGCGTGAGAAGAAGCGAGAGTTGTGGCAGGACAAGTCGTGGCTGCTTCACCATGACAACACACCTGCTCACAATGCCCTGAGCATCCCACAGTTCCTGGCTGAGAAGAACATCACCGTGCTGGAGCAACCTCCCTACTCACCCCACCTGGCTCCGTGGGATTTTTTCCTCTTCCCCAAGCTCAAGGGGTTCATCAAGGGGACCCATTTTGAAGATGTGGACGACATCAAGATGGCTGTGATGACGGAGCTGCGGAGGATCCTGGAAGAATCCTTCCAGGAGTGCATGGCGGCGTGGCAGAGAAGGCTGGGGAAGTGTGTGAGACTCCAGGGGGATTACTTCGAAGGGGAAAACTTGTAGTTTGGATTTGAAATATATCTTTTGTAACACCAGTCCTGGAACTTTCCTGACACACCTCGTATATGAATTTTTAGTGTGTAGTGTTGTTTCACTATACTTACGACATTTTTAGTCTCACAAAAGTCATACACGACTTGAGGAGACCAAGACAGTCTGGTATTTCAAAGGTACATCAGTTGCTTTGCAAACTCTGCATGTTTTCTCTCTTTTCAATGTACTTTTTTTTTTAAGTAAAAATTCAAAGGGATGCTTTTTTTTTTTTTTTAAAACAGTATTTTTACTGTGCAGTTATTTTGAGTTTTACTGAAGAACCAAGTGAGTAATTGTTCTACTGCCAGTACCTACATTTAGTCAAAAAGGGTGTAAAGGTAGAGTTTGCCTGTAGCCCCTAAATAAGTATACTTGTCCCTGCTCTTAGCACTCTGAAACTGTTACGGTACAGATGATGCTCTGACCATTTCAGATTGAATTTAATAACACACCCATAGCTAAAAAAAAAAAAAAAGAAATCTGCTGGCTAAAGATTACTTTTAAGCATGAACCCCATTCGTATAATTTTGTTAACTCCGTGTGTGGGCTCCAGGCTGCTAACACTGGGGGCTATAAGAGATGAACTACGAGCTCGGCAGTCGAAAACTGCACTTTTCTCCGAAAATGCGTCCAAGATGAATTAGAAACGGAGTTGGTGAGATAAAATGTGCACGATGACGGTCATGTAGAAGTGATAGATAGAAAATCTATTTTCTTAATTTCTCTGGTTCCAAGAGCAGAGCTGATAACGTCAGATCTTCTCAATACTCTGGTTTTTAATAATTTAAGCCCTGGGTTTATTACCCAATCCTAATAATGCCTGAGGACATCTTTGCCTCAGGAAAAGGCTGCTTGTTATGGACCTAGTAGAAACTAAAGATTACAGGTTAGTCTATCAGCCACATTTGCCAATAAAAATCGTAAATTTGACAACTTTCCCATCAGCCTAATTTTTAAACCTATATAAGAAATTGTTAAATATATAGTAAGGTGGACATCAAGAAGACTGAAAATCTACTTTAATCTTCCGATCTCTGTGTTTTTCGTTTGAACTTGAATGTCTGACTCACTTCCTTCCAGCTTTATAAGAAATCAGGAGACTTCTGACGTACACCTCCCTCAATACCCCTTTAGCTATTGTTTTAATTTTATTCACTGCCAGCAAGGGATCTCACCATGCAGGAGGGACATTCAGTTAGCTGTCTGGAGTTCTTTGTCTATGGACAACCTAAAACCCCATGCAGAGGTCAGGTAGGTCTTGCTCTGTTGCAGTCAATACTCACACTAGTGGTACAGCAGATCCTATTAACTAGCTTGCAAGTTCATTCACCTCTCTAATTGCCACTTTAGGCATTGATTCGTATGTCCTTGACAGCAGGGTATAGAGCGAAGGTCTGTGTTATTTTAGCCTTACTTTCTCCTCCTCCTGCTCTGCCTACTAAGTCAGTAATTAGCCGCATTGTTACCTCCAGGCTCAAGGAATCAGGGCCAAGTTAAAGCAGCCTTACTTGTTGTATTGCAGGATTGAAATTTAGATATTTGAGCATGTCTGTAAGTAGCAAATTGTCAGTGTCAAAGCTGAGATTGTGTTTTTTGGTATGAATAATAAAGTATAAATAGCAAATGTTTCTCATAATTTCAGGATTAATTTTATTGTATAATATTATTCTGCTTCCTCTCTGTATTGGGCTGCCCTAAAATGTTTAGAAAAAATAAAATTAAAAAAAAGGCCCACTACTGTGATATTAAACTTGTGAAGCCTTATTGGTCTTGGCTCACCCTAACCCCAGGCACCAATGCATGGCCAAGCAAGTGGAATCCAGAATAGGCATTAAGACCTGATCAGCCACAGTGACGTGTGCAGAGCGTCTCTCAGGGTACGAGCTAGAGCCCTAATCCCTTCCTGTCAGCAGACAGCTCACAGTTGGAGTCAATTCTTCTTCTCGTGGCCTCATCCTCCTCTTTTGTTCATCTCATGTTCACCTCGTTCTCTAAAACTTTTTTCTTTCTGACTCTCTGTCTCATTGTTTTGGACACGATTTTTCCTGTGTGTTAATAAAGATGGCATGCACAAGAAAGTGCTTTTGCCATCTACAAAGCTCCTAAAATAATCTTTAACCCACGCTTTGTCTAGTCACAGTTCCCTTTTCATGTGTGCTATGCTTAACAGTTACCAAATAGTAGCGACATTATGTACCAACTTTGTTTCCATTGCATTGCTCTCAGTTCGGTTGCTGCATGACATTGTCTTGATGTGACACAATCAAGAAACAAATGGCTACACTATGGGAAGTTAAATTGACGGTTGTGGTTCCACTGTAGTGAGAAACTTTTTTGTCAGGTTGTTGTATTGTTTGTACGTCAAATGTGCACAAATCCTCAGTCAAAATATTCAAAAAGACATTTATTGCAATGAGCTGCGCTACCACTGTATTAACGTCTATCGGTTGAAACTCTTTCCACATGACTCTCCTTACACATGATTGTAAAACAAGTACATGGTACAGTCATGTCATTACGATATGCTCAGTACAGCTACATTTAGATACAGAAAAAGCTAAGCTACCATTCACCATGGGTGCAAATGCTGTCAGCAGTGAGGCCCAGGTTCAATTCCAGGATGGCCAGGATGTTGCTTCATGTCAAAAACAATCTTGCTAAAAAAAAAGAAAAAAAGCTTCTCACAATGTTGTTGAATTGATTTAGTTGATTTAGTGTGTTGGTGCTTCAGCTTTTTTTGTAGTGACACCATGTAAAGATTTTGATTTCAGTCTCAAATGCAGATTAACTAATCAACAACTTATAGCCAACAGATCTGGACTCCACTTGTATCTTACAATCTACATTTTGCTCTGTCATTTGGAAATACTTGAATCACCACACTAGCCTTCAAAACCCTGACTGGATAGTGTGTGTTGTATCTGAACTACCTTATTCCTAGCTTGTGATCAGACAGGGAAGCCAGACTTTCTTGTATTTGCGGTCAGCATGTGAGAATCATCTGACTCATGCAGGCAGCATCAAGGAACACACTGTTTGACACACAGCCATGTGTTAGAACAGAAGAAACTGTTGAGATGACCTTGTTCTATATATGATTACAGATGTACCTAGCCCTGGTACTAAATGAGCCCCGAAGGATCGATAAGCTCAGATGTAAACGGTACTTTAGAAAGCAAGAAAATTGTTGTGTTGCAAATTCTGTCTCATCACCATAAAACGTGTTTCTGATGTGTATGTGTCTATGATGCACTTCTGCTTTCCAAATCCTAAATCCTGTCTGTCAGAGGCTGTAGCTTCGACGGACACAACTCCTGGTTTGTGGGGCAGCTCTGTCACTCACCTGCAGCTCTGTGAAGCACAAAAAAGTGACGAATGTCCAAAAGTATGAGTTAGTTCTCTACAGTTGTTGCAAAAAACGTTAGTTCCCTCAAAAGTAACAAGTTGTTTCAGTTTCGGAGCAGAAACATGTTCAATCTGTTGAAACATTCAGTAAAAGTTCATCACGTACTGACGAAGAAACGCACTGCTGAGCTCCTAGTTCGTCCCTCACTAACCACCTACGTTGTGTTTGCTCGCAGCCCGAACACAGAGTTAACTTAACTATATAAACATGGGTTAATGATTAAAAGTAAGTATTGTTTGTTTAGCTGTCTGTGGTTATGAATTCACTCTGAAATTCACAGCTTCATCTGATCTGTCAATCAGAATATCAGTTTCTCTTTCAGAGCAGCAGGATTTAGTGATTTTAGGGCTGCAGACAAACTGTCTTACTTTATTTTTTCTCTAACTGAATGATGGTATCAGTGGAAGAAGAAGTACTTCAACTGTTTTCTTCACTAAACTATTGCATTCGTTTCATACTCGGAAGTGAAAAGGGAAAGAGGTTTCATCTGCAAAATGTGCTGACGTTTACCTGATATCTGTTCAAGGTGGAGCTTTTAATTCTGATATGATGCTGGACAGTTTAATGAAACACAATGCATAATGTTTTATTTTGTAAGTAAAACCTGTGACACAATGCTTTGATCATGCCACCAACTCAACATTAATGTCTACATGGATTTGAATTTAATTACAGTACGTATGAGAAAATTAATTCATCTTTATTCTTTTCTTACTTTGTTTTTTTTGTTTTTTTAAAAACGAAAACAAACAAAAACAACCCAATAAGAATGCCGTTAAAGTAGCTGACAGATAAGCAGCATCGGTAAAAGTAGTAGCACCGCTGAAATCTTAAAAATACCATCCTTACACATGATCAGGTCTGGTTTGCTGCTTTTCATAGTCATTGTGTTAAAAATAAAACTGATGGTTTGCAAGAAACATATCACAATCTTGTGAACTTTTTATACGCCCTTTACATTTTTCATAATGTGTTGATTTCCTCTTTTTAAATTGAACCTGATCAATACACATGGCTGTATTCTGTTTGGCATTTAGTTTCTGTTGTTTATTCAGATTGCAGGGTTTTAAACATACAGTTATGAGTCTTTCAGTACAGCTGCATTCTTCCACTATTCACCACTGTGCCACTTTGCTAGAGTGATTTGGCATTAAGTACTTTGTTTAAGGACTCTATTAGAGCGGTGGTTGATTTAAAGAGGTGTTTTGATCGTTCCCTGGTCAAGTCTTTCCTAGCCTGTGAAGTGCTGCTGAATTTGTGATTGCTTTACAATCATGATACTTTCTGCAGTGACGCAAATATTTATTGTGAGGCACCTGTTTGTGTATTCATTTTATATTTTCTCCATTCTCTCTTTGCCTTTTCCTTCTAGCTTTGATTAAGTTCATCAGGCCAGTGTTTGTATCACGATCAGACCAGAACTCCAGAAAGAAGACTGTGGAGGAGATCAAACGCAGAGCCCATTCTGGAGGGGAGTGGCCTCAGGTTAGTAGTTGGAACAAAAGAGTTATGTTGCAGCTATAATGCATGCAAAACAGCACCTGATTTGTAACATAAACCAACATCATTTGAATTTTTGTACCAGACATTTGCCTAACAAAGTGAACAAATTGATCAGTAAACATCTTCAGTGAACTTTGATGTACTGCAAAGTTGTTCTGAAAAAAAATCTCTCTCTAGTAAGTCTCATGGCATCAGTTGTTTTCACCATTACTTCCAGTTTCTGTTTTCAAAACGAACACACAACAAACGTATTAACCTCTAAAACCGAGCCTTGCAGTAAAAAAACAAAATGCTGAGCTACTGATGACTCATTTCCTTTTCTTACCTACAGATCATGATTTTTCCAGAGGGAACATGCACCAATAGATCCTGCCTAATCACCTTTAAGCCAGGTAGCTCCACTTCTATTGTTTTTCTCAGCTTTCTTCTCTTTTTTTACTTTTCAAGTTGTGTCAGCTGTTTACTTATTGCATTCAGTGATATAGACGAGGTACAAATTAAAGAAAAAACAACATAAAGTCTTCAGCACTCTGCTGAAGGGAAACAGCGCCATTGTCCCAAAAGATAGTCCTTCATTTGTTTTTTTTTTGATAAAGGCAGGGAAAATTCAAAAATTTGGGTCAATACAGCAACTGCTGGCGAGAGCAGTAGTGGTCCTGCATGAAATACATGCACATGTATCCAAGCGGACTCAAAGTGGACTAGAAAGTAAAGCACTAATTAAAACAGCTACATGTCTGCGGTGCCTGCAGTTGTCTGTGTGCACGTCCACAACACTTAACAGAGCCTTCAGATCCTGACATGCTAGGGGTCAAGGCTGAGGACTTTCCTTTAATTTGTCACCCGTCTGTATGTTATAGCAAATAATTTATTTTGACTTTGTCATTTGAATGAAATTACACATTTAATAAATGTGTAATGTGTGAGTTTTGAATTATGATGTGAAGTCAAAGTGCAGCTTAAGTGCAGGTGTTTTTTTGTTGTTGTTGTTTTTAATATGCTACTACTAATCTAATTCAAGTGTTGCTTTTTCCAGCCCAGTGAATTATTTACACAGATAAATCACAAATAATTCTTCTGCCTCTTTCTTCTTTGCTCTTGTAGGGGCCTTCATCCCAGCTGTACCAGTGCAGCCTGTGGTTATTCGTTACCCTAACAAACTGGTAAGATTGTGTCTGTTATTTTTATGTTCGTGACTCAAATTGATGGCACAGTTATTTCTAGAATAATCCTCATTCACATTTTTTTTTATTTTAAGCAGTAAAATAATACCTGTTTGACACTGCAGTATCAAACAGAATTGAAAAATCTCTTTTTTTCTTTATTCTCCTGGTTAATTGAGTGTCAAATTAGAAATGGGATTGTTCAAACACCAGTTTCCTGAGAGATTAATTAGTGGCCCAACACCTGCCCACTAATCCCCGTAAACACTCTCCGATACTCACTCCACATTTGTTTTAGAAGGTAGAAGCCTCTGATCTTCCGTCCTTGCCTTATTTTCTGATACCTCATGTTAAACTGCCCTTACTACAGTCTAAACATATCAATGCAAACTAATCAACATGTGAGAGGTGCATGTTACACAGAGTATGAAGTCAAAACTTAGTTGTGGTAGAGACTCAGTTATAGGAAAGGCCCACACTGCTAAAATGTTAACATTCTGTGTTAGTCATGTCATTTTGTGTGAGTCTGTATCTATACTACGCATGTTCTGTAGCCTGCTTGGCTTCTTCCCAGAGTCCATCTCAGTGGGTAGATTAGTATCTGAAAACTGGACACAGCCACATTTCCAAAATCCTCTGGAGGTCTGGAGCAGAAAACCGGATTTCTATTCAGTTAGGATGTGTCTCACATAATTTGACTATCACTGATCAGAGCCTGAGGAACAGGCACGGTTTTCCATATGTGGGAATTTGTACAGTTGAATGTGTTGCTACCTTTGGAAATCAAAATCAGCCTAAGTTAAAAACCTTATCAGGTGCCATGTCGACAGAAATTAAAGTTTGAAATGCAAATATGAACACTTTGTTGATTGGTAGCTCAGCAGTCCACTGATGACATGTGGGTCTAGAGTCTGTTTAAAGACTTTATAATCTAATCAAGTATTTAACATATGTAGATGCAACAATCTGTCGGGCATATAAGGCTTGTGGCCACCACAGGGACTTTGAGTGTCTTTGTTTATTGATCAAATCTTTTACTAGTCTTTGTTTAATTTATAATTCAACTTCACTTCACACCGTGCTTTGGACTAACTGGGCAGTAGTTATATAAAGCTGTGATAACTATGTAAATCTGCCCTCTCAACTAAGCTCATGTCTGCCTTACATTATGTCTGGGATGACAGACTAATGATTTAGCAGACACCTAATGGAAGGCCAAAGAGGCGGATTTAGTAAAAAGAGTTTAAGTGTGGCTGTAAGAAGAACCCAGTCAAGCATGCAGAGCTACCTTCTGATTGCCTGACCGCAATCTGGCTAATCATGATATGATTCAGAAGGCGAATCCAAAGCATTGCTCAGGCTTATTATTAATGAGGCTGTAGATAACCACCTTTAATAGAGGACAGTGTCAGAAGAAATCCAGCAAGACGTCTTCTACTGAGGGAGACAGAGTTCAGATATTCAGTTTGACTTCAGTTGCAGAAATCAGATATGTAGCTACAAAGCTTTGCTGCTGCTGTGCCAGTCTTGATAGTGTGGTGAATGTGTTGAAATCAGACGGGTCACTTTGTTGAGTGTTAAAGTATGAAACAGAAGTCCAATTGTTTACATGCACTTTATTCAACTTGTAAATACATTAATTCAATGTATTCTTTCAGCAGTACACCCCAGGACTGTATCGCATTCTGAACACTCAGCTTGCGTTTGTTCCCACGGCTACTGATGATAAAGAATTATTTATTGTGCTCTTCATAAATCAGATGATTTAAAAGCAGAAATGGTGCATGAGGATGACAAAGCTAACAGTCTCTCTTAGAAAATGGTGACCTGCAGCTCCCGTGGACACAGCTGAAGAAAAGAAGGTCTATAACCTTCAAAAGTTGATGGATGCTCCAGAAGTCTTTAGGTTGTGGGAATAAAGAACCACATTAACTGGAAAAACTGAATATTAATCACGAGGCTGACTATTTTGGGCTTTGTAGCTGTCAGTCTGTAAGAAGTTACAATGAGCTATTTACAAAATGGGACAAGAGAAGCCTGAAATATATCGGTCCACACTGAGAAATACTCATGAGTTTGGTAAAAAGATAGATTTCATAAGTTATCTTTATTGTTGTTGTTAATTGTACACACAACAAATGTTACAAGAAATGTGGTTTTAATGCTTTTTTTTTTAACGACCTTTCATAAGAATTCATATTTGCTCGCAATGTCATGTATGTAACAGTGTTTTCATTTCAGTCTAGTATGTTACATGTTTTGCAGAAATCTGGTGTAAGAAATGTCCATGTTAACATTAACGTTTAAAGAATAAAGTATAAATTGTTCGTTTAAGAAACCGTAAATTAATGAAATGCTTAAAACTTGCCAAACATGTATAAACACTTTTTGTTTGTTTGTTTTGAAAAATCAAATTGAGTGATAGATGGGAACTGATTTCCTGCCTTACCTGGTTTGCACAACAATCAGATCCACAAATAACCTTGTTTAGTGCAAGATGTTGCACTGGAAACCGACAGTTGGTCTAAAAATGCATCCTTGAAACATTTTAATTCACTTTTATATCACTATGTCTCACAATGTTTCTGCTTTTTTGTGTTTTTACAGGATACAATCACATGGACGTGGCAAGGGCCAGGAGCGTAAGTGCACAATTCATATGTAGTATTTAGAATTGATACATAATGTGCCTGAAATGAAAATACGTTAGATGGAAGTCTAACAATAAATCAATAAATGAGCTTGACATAGGCTTAGATACAAGGAAAATGCCCACAATGATTCTGTCTCACAACCACACATTACTGCTGTGACAGTGTGATTCATTTATTTATTTATTTATTTTATTTATTTTTCCAAATATTGCTTCTTTATTCAACAGTATATCTTTATCAGTTTTTAACAAATAGGAAAAAAATACAGACACGCCGTAGTGATTTATATAGCAGTATCACTATACATACTATATGTATCCATAGGATGCAGAATTTTCTAAATTGAACTTAGCTGTATCTTGTTCTTTACGAGACAGTGGATTTTGTCATCAGTGTGAAGTAATTTGCCTCATTTACTTGAACCCTAATTCAAACTGTGTATGCCTGTATGTATTTATTTGTTTATTTATTTATTGATGTCTTCTTATGATCCAGATTTGAAATCTTGTGGCTGACACTCTGCCAGTTACACAATGAATTTGTCATAGAGGTAAGCGTGAAAGCATCTCTCCATATTGCATGCATTATTATGACTATGGATAACGACCTATATTTCCATGATCACGGTTGTACTGCCAGCATTTCAAATGATCAAATGTGTGATGTGTGAAAGTCACCGTCCTCCTGTTATGTTCTTCCTTTATTGAAGATATTACTCTGTAAGGCCCAGGTTTATCCTAACCATACAGTCTCATGTTTATTTATTTTAATTGTATGCATTTTATAAACGTGAACTAAAAATCTCAAAATTTTTACGAACAAGACAAAAATTCCCTGTGACACCTGTGATTATGCTGACTGAATATTTGCTGTCTCTTCACAGTTCCTTCCTATCTACACACCCTCAGAGGAGGAGAAAAAGAATCCTGCTCTCTTTGCCATCAATGTGAGGCGTGTCATGGCTAAGTAAGTTAAATGTTCCGATCATGTGCTATATTGCAAGTCACTGACTGAGGGTTATTACTTGATATTTCATTTACTGTGGTAAAAATAAAGAAAACGTACGTTACTTCAGTTTTGTCTATCTTAGCAGTTAGAGAGCTCTTAGTTGACTGTTAACTACTTTGTTCACATAGGGACACGGTAGCAAGTCAGTGGAACTCTGGTTTTGCTGTTTACCAGGCAGCTTGTTTTGTTTTTAAAAAGGTTTAACAAGTTATGAAAGTAAATATATGTGGTAAAGTTTTGTCTTCAGCTTCTTTTGCAGTTTCATTGTGAGTTAACCAGATAATATAAAATGTGCTCTTTTGTGATTTTTTAAAATTTCCTCTGTTGTTTCCTTTGTGTGCTTATTAATTGTGTGTAAATGAATGAGAACTGTTATTCCCCAAACCTCGCTCTTATGTGGTGCCTACGTAATACAGGCTATACTTATTACCTGTGTTCTCATACACGCCCACGCTCTCTGCTTCTCTGCTTCACCGCTTCGAGTCTAAGATGAGAAACTCGAGTTCTGCGGATTGACAAAATAACTATGCACATTGTTCTCAACATCAAAGCAGCTGCGTCGGCTACTACGTTGGCTCTATAAGCCTTAAGCAAAGTTTGTATTGATTTGCACGCACCGATGTCCATCATTGTCTCTTCTTGTGTTGTGCTCAGAGCCCTGGGGGTTCCCATCACAGACTATTCATTCGAAGACTGCCAGCTGGCCATGGCAGAAGGCCAGCTGAGACTGCCAGTCGACACCTGTCTGCTGGAGTTTGCCAAGCTCGCCAGGAGACTGGGGTGAGTCACTCAAACTTTCCAATGCATCGCACTCATCAAAGACAACTAAGTAAGGATCACAAAGGTGAGACAGGGCAAAATACTCACCCAGCACAGCCGGCACTCGGCAGGGATTCAGTTTCTGGCAGCGGATCTTGGGTACGGTTGCCCGTTCCAGCAAACGCAACCGGTCGTGTTCACGTATCAGAAGGCAGGGTCGCTGCAATCGTGACTCACACTGGTTGGTCAGGTGCCTGCTTAGGATGGGCTCTGGAAGTAGTGTGATCTTCCCAGTGAAACTCCTTTCTGGCAGGTGAGAGGAAGCAACTGGCAGCACCATGTGTGTGAGAGGAGGGGCAGTCGTCTCCTCCCTCCCAGAGTTGGCAGCGACCTCTGATAGTGGAAAGAGAGTGAACATGGAGAATGATGGGAAACTGACAGAGTGAAAAATAATGTCAATGGATTACACAAAAGATAGCACTTATAATACAATTTAAAGTTTACGAAATCATCATAGCAGTTCAGATAGCAGCCTTGCACAGTCTGAAAAATTAAAGAATCAGTCTTTGCTCTCTTGTTATTGCTTTATCATGGGGTTGATCTATGTCCTTATTCGCATGTGATGTTATGAATTAACAAAGCTTTCTTTCCTTTGCTGTCTCAGGCTAAAACCCCAGAACACAGAGAAGGTTTTGCAGGAGTTTGGGAACAGAGCCAGGAAGCTTGAAGGACAGAAGCTGGGCTTGGAGGACTTTGCTCACTTCCTTGATGTGCCAGTTTCAGATATGCTGCGAGACATGTTTGCTCTTTTTGATGAGGTAAAAAAACTGCAGACGTTCCCCTCACAGCCACGACTGCTCTGCAGTTTTGTGCACTGGCAACCGCTACCTCCTCCTTTGTGCGTCTTATGTTTCATGTTGACTCTCCCACTACATTATTGTATGCACTGCAAATATAGAACTGCAATACAACAATACAGTTAAACACACAACTAGATGTGATATATATGTAACAAGCAATATTTGCCGTAGTTTAGGGCACGGTAAAAGCAGGGAGGACTTTTGTTAAACTGGGTTGTGTACCAGAGGCTGTGTTGAAACTAATCGCAGCACCTTGCTTTTCAATGCGGGGATGTAATATTATCCAAACAAGCAATAAAGATTTTATTGCTGCAATGTGTTTGTGACCTAAACAACAATCACCCGTAGGTACTTCTGTGAAATGTAGTAGTCGTGCTCACATGCTCCTGTCCTCATCTTCGGTTGTTTTCTCTTGTTTTTCCAGCACGAAGATAACAGCATGGATATTAGAGAATATGTGATAGCCTTATCTGTTGTATGCAGACCTGCCAAAACTCTGGAAACAATGAAATTGGCCTTCAAGGTATGTTCTGTTTCTGTCTTATCTTACCAGCAGGCAGAATAGAGTTTTCTGTGCTTGCTTAGGATCAGCGTGACATTTACTGCATTTAAAATGCCACATACTGTAGGTCGTCTCAGTCTAAGGAGAGTAATGAAATGGGTCTCTTTCCATCAGCATACTTATTACGTTTATAATATATTTCCATGCACACATCCGGCATTCAGAATATTAGATGAATTGTGCAGTCAGGGCCTTATCATTGCAATCGATCTTTTTTTTTTTTTTTTTTTGTGAATGCATGAAATTCAAACGGCTTTAATATGAGTCATTATATGTTTTTGAGTTGAACAAGTTCTGTTACCTTAGGGCTCCTGAACCTCCTGACCATCGGCTCCTAATCTGAAAAGCCTGTCAGAGTGGCGTGCACTAAAGCAAAACGACGAGAGAGATGATATCTGCGTTGTTTTTCATGTTATCTTCTGCAGATGTTTGAGGCAGAGGAGGATGGTGCCATCACAGAAAGGGAGTTGGCAGTTGCACTGAAGACGGCTTTAGGAGTGACTCACCTCAGCGTGTCACGTCTATTTACGGCCATCGACGCTGAAGACACAGGGAAGATCACGTTTGGTAAGAGACCCAGTAGAAGAGACATAAATAGTTCTAATTTGAAGTTTGGGTTTTGAACTTTGTTTGCTTATCAAAGTGGAAGACTTCCTTTCTGGCTTTTCCCACTAGCCAGACTGGCCAGTTCATTTTAAAGTGCAGCCTCTGTTTAATGTTGCTTTTGTCTCCCTCCTGTGGTCTTTTCACAGACAAGTTCAGACGCTTTGTGGAGCAGCACCCGGACTTTGCTGAGGACTACCTGTACACAGAAAACGCAGGCCTCCACAGCGGTCCCTGCCACAGTCACCAAACACAGCCCGGCCTGTCTCCTCTGGACCCGCAAGGCACTGCCACCAGCAAAACGGCTAACGGTATCTGTCCCGACTTCAGCCCCAGCGACCCCGACGGCACAATAGACGGACTCCTTAAGAAACACAACTGAAAAGGTTTAACTGTAGTAGGAGAAAGCAAACCCCCTCTCCTGGTGAGAGGGCGTAAGAGGCAGAGCGTAGTCAGTTACTCAGTCGTAACTTGTTTGAGTATGAAGGGACTACATTTCAGTAACCACAGCTACAAAAGTGAAGACGTTTACCTGACCCTTTTTTTATTAGTATTGTGTCCATGAAATTCCTGAAGTTATTTTCAGCCTGTTAACAGTTTATTTTGTTATAAATCCTTTTTTTTTTTTTTCATAGCAAGAATCGTCAAAATGCCAAACAGTGGCTGTTTCAGATACAATGCTTGAATACTTGAAGGGCAAGCACTTATTAGGATTTCTGGGGCAAATGTTTTTTTTTATTTTTTTATTTTTTTTTCCTTCCAATATAGTGCTGTGCATGTTTTTAACACAAGGGAAGCAAGACAAAACAAGCCCTGGACAGTGAAGTGAACTAACTGTTGGTGAAATCAGTGTTCGGTTCTCTTTTATTTGTAACTTTAAATCATTTCCTCTCTTTAATGGTAGCTGCCTTTTGAACTGAAAGTGCAGAATGCATGGGCTCATGTTATTTTGAGCAGAGCTGAGGATTATTTATGTAAAGGAAGGCCTGAGGGTACCAGTGACGACTGTGTTGCTACATAGAGCATTTAGCTCCAGTAGCTACATTTGAGGTTAACTCAGGCCTCTGGAAGTTGATGGTCATAACTGCTATGAGCCTGTTGTGTGGGTGTGTGTGTGTGCGGGTGTGCGTGCGTGCGTGTGTGTGTATATATACGACAATATATTTGATTTAGCTCAGGGTTCAGTGACAAAAATGAAAAATTTAACTCGTATGATGTCATCATTTTTGACGCTCAATGGGTTGTGTGCATGTAAACTCTTTTTCTTACATCAGTACTCTTCTGTCCAGTCTTACCTCATCGACTTTATTTCTCTCCCTTTTTTTTCTTCCCCCCGAATTACACAACGTGGACCAAAAATGCATCAGATGATTTAATGTCACCTCTCATGTTTGTATTGTCCTTTTTGAGTCAGTGGTGTGATGGCTTTAAGGGAAGAAAAATCACAGTATGCGACCACTGAAAGCACATTGAGTTAGGGAGCTTTGTTAGGTACTTTAAAGGCAAGGTCATACTACTTCCCTTTCTGCATTACACTGTTAAAAACTTCTTAATCATTCCTACTTCCCCCTTTCACAGCATCTTATTCGTCAGTCCGAGGATACGTTCAAGGATACGATTGGCCCCATAGTCACCTGTAAAGTTGTCCTTCATGCTGTTACTGATCTGCATGAAGGAAATGTGTGATGTTTTTATGTACCGAGGCATGTTTTAAATGGATCCAAGCACCTTTGCATCTAATCGCATTTGAGGGACCAGTCTACAATTGAAAAATACCCACCTACATGTATCTGATTTTGGAGATTTTTTATTTATTTTTTATTTTTTAAATGGTGATCTGATTGACACAAACATATTTGTCACTGAATGTGGTTTGATTTTAAGTTTTCAAGACACTGACATGCAGCCTGTGGTCATAATATTCAGAGGTGGGATTGCCCTGTGCTTTGATTTTAATGAAAATTTAAAAAAGTTTATATCTGAAAGTTGGCAAAAAGTGGAGGTGCTCAGTAGTGAGTAGTGGGCTTTAAATGATTGGCTTTAGGATACGGTTACGTTAATATTGGAAAGAAAGTTTGACATGTTGTAATATGTCCAAATTCTTTTTTTTTTTTTTTTGTCTGATTTTAATTCAAGAAACCTCATTTGAAGTTACAATCACTTTTCGATGTGTTGACAGAAACGTTCCTGTGCACTTCTGGTACTAACACAGTGATGCTCCTTTCAATCATTTGCCAGCAATCGATTGGCTGTTCGCTCTCCGGAAACACGCACATAACAACGTAAATCTTACAAAAATGAAATGTTATCGTGTTGCTCAAAAATCTACCGTGCTTTACATCATGTCATTTGAAGGAGAACTAATAGTTAAAGGGAATAACGGCACACATTAGACATTCAGTTTTTGTTTACTGATATCACACAAGGTTTTACAACTTGACTTTTTTTTTTTTTTTTTTTTTGCTATAAATGGATCCCATTCCCACCCTATTCATGACCATGCATACTGTACATGTATCTCCATTACGGCTTTCAGTGAAGCAATATTTCACATCTCTTAAGCCTTCTCAAGATGTATGCTTTTGAAGAGTTCTGATATGTATTTTGAATATTCCAAATGCAGGACATTTTGTGAATTTTTGATATACGTATATGAATGATTTTTATTTTCACTGCCATGACAAAGATCTGTGATCTTCTCTCCTCTGCAGATTGTATTGATGGTGAAAAATGAGCCACATTTTTTTCCTTTTGTATAATACTGCAGTTGTTTTGTGCTGTATTCCTCCTACACAGTGTAAAGTTTTATTGTTATATTATTACTATTATCGCTGAGTTGACTGCTTAGAAACAAAATGCAGATTTCATATGGAAACCAATAGCCTTGAATCTATATAGTTTTTATGCTAAAAAGAAAAAAAAGAGAATGTATAGACAATCTTGTCACAATCAGAAGCTACTCAAAGCGCTGATCTCCAGTGGACATTTTCCTAAGAAATCATAGGTTTCAAATCTATGCTTTTTACCGTCTTTGAACCTTTTCTTTTTCAATTTTCTTTTATTTTTTTAAAGGTGTGCAGGTTGAACTAAGCAAAGTGTGAGTGCGTGTTAAAGTGCGCCGGGCCCTGAGGTGAGGCTGCCACCACATGACGGGCCCGATCACACAACCACTCCAGACAGCACACACACATACACAAACTAACATTTTATATGTTACATCAAAACCTTTTAGTATTGTCCCCTTACGACTTTGTCCTTTAAAAAATGTATGTATTTGTGCTTGCACTTTAGATTGTTTTGATCATTCTTTTATCTTTTTTTTTATATATATATATATAATTTTAAGGAAACTTCACTTTGCTCTAAAGAATGTTACGTTTGTATGTTACAGTATTGTAGCTCAATTTCCAACAAGAATGGGTTTTTTTTTAGTTCATATATATATATACTACAATAATTGGAGCACAGAGGAAATTGGGGCTCACAACCCTCACCCCACATTTTGGTTCTAAAACACTTTTTAGACCTACTTTTCTGCTTTGTCTCAGGATTGTGGAAATTTTGTAGCTTGAAAATGAATTTGTAAACTTACAGGACTTCGGCGTAAAGATTTGAATGACTTCAACCTGTTTGCACCATGAAATGGATTAAATGTACTCCTTAGTGACGTGATCCGAGTATACATTTGAATCTGTATGTTTGAGGGAAACCATGTTGTTTTTGTACATAGATTGGGATTCTGATTGTTACAACTGAAACACAAATGTATTTTAAGACTTGACGTGGAATGAGATGTATTGAGCCACTGTAACCCCCTCATGCAGTTTTGTGTTAAGCAGACAAATTCATTAGACGGTCTAAAGGATGACGTAATACTTCATCAGCAAGTCAAATATATACTTATATATACATAGATATATATATCTATATCTATATATATATTCAGTATTTACATTCAGAACAATTCTGCATTGGGGCTGTATGCAAATACTGGGTCCTTTTTTTTCACACTTGTTACATTTACCTTTTACTTCAGATACCTCACTCGAGGCGAATCTCATTTTTTCTACTTGGTATCAACCTGAAAAAATGTAAACCTGCAAGAGAAACTTGTATTTATGCTACTGCTGCCTGCTTGCCACAGTTTGTCCAGCAGTGAGCCTAAGACGAAAGACTTGTGTACTCTGACAGAGCGATATTGTCTTTCCGATGGCTCACCGTGCGCGGACCAAGAAACTGAACTGTTATTTCTGTAGCTTTACTCCTGTCTTTTTCTATACTGAACAGGTTTTATTTTATTAATGCATTTTGATGATGAAGAGTCATTACTGCAAGCTACTTTGAATTTGTTCAGGACTGCTATGATATAACTTGTTAATGTGACTCTTGGATGGAATTAAACAAGAAACATTAACACACAGCTGCGTCACTGTCACCATTGTAGTTGGAGTAGTTGTGTTTGACTGAATGATGGATGCATAGAAGTAGATTATAAGTGAGAATGTGGTCGAAGGAGTTGGTGTAGCAGTTCATGTACTGACTGATAGTCTGCCAAATGACTAAAAATCCATATCATACATTAATCACAGATACCGCAGTGATTTTTATAAACTAAGGGGTTCGTCAGTTTTGAGCTCCAAAGCTAAATGTCTGAAGAAATGAGGAGTTGCGACATCAATTTGGGCAGTTCACAGCCTCACTGAATCCTCCATATGCCGACAGTAAACAAATTCCTGTCCTCAGCTGCTGGATTATTGCATCAGTGTCTCCCTCTTGAGGTCACGTAGAGAACATGCAGTCCCTCTGAGGTCACCTCGGAGCACCGAGCATCACATCAGCTTTATTATGTGTACTACACAAAGGGACAGCTGGACTACACACTATACACTTTAAATGGAGTGTCAGTAATACATGATGTGGCTCTTTCTTTAGTTCATTATTATCAAAGCATGTTTTTATGACGCTGATGGAGTGATTTGCACTGACACAGTAGTTTGTGGTAACTTTCACTGAAGCTGTATTGAAAGACATCTGAGTGACTTCACTGCACGGTTCTCCAGATGTTCACCACTTCAGCCCAGACTGAAATAGCTCAACAGCTTTCGGTGGGTTTGTCATGAAACTTTGTACAAACATGCCCAAGAGGATGAATTGGAAGAGTTAATTTGCAAAAAAACAGATAACTCCATTTTCACAAACCTTCAGAAAACCCACTTCTCCATCTTCTACCTTTGACAATATAAGTTATCTCTATTTTTGTCATGTCATTTCTGCTGAGTCAAATCCACTCAACTTCAGTTTGATTGATATTATCTCAAGCAAACTGCAACAACAAAAACGTTTTCTGAAAATCTACAAAAATGGAGTTATGTTTTTGCAAATATAACTCTTCAGTTGTAATGATGCGAGCAATCCCTTGACATTTCTTCTTGCTCCATGAGTATTAATGGTGGTTTTAAATGATGTGTCTCATTGTTGCAACTTGGATGCTCCAAAAAGTTGTCCTCTGGAAGTGAAGTGTCCAATCCTTTGATTTTTGACTGGCTTTCCCATCCAATGCTAGTGCTTTGTGTTCAGCTTTGTGTTGGCATCGTGCCTCACAGAGCTGTTGACTCTTCACTCAGTTGTGTCTGGCAGGGCCTTTGGCTTCTCTCATCCTGGGTATGCAACTGGAAACGGAGTGCTCTTGGCGTTTTCGTCGGTGAGCGATTAAAGTGAGCACTTGCTAATGAAATGTTTTCTTTTAATCAACAGCTATTCTCTCTCGCCGATCTTATTAAACACGACATGGTTTATTAGTGAATGAGACTTTGTCAGGAGTCCCCGCCGCGTTGCTCAGCAGGTAAAATGGTGGTCTGCGTTTTGGGGGGGCTAAGTTCTAATTGTCTGAAATCACTGGTTATGGCCATGACTCAGTAGATGAAGAATTTGTCCTCATTCTTCTTTTGTGTTGTTTTTTTCTTTTTTTCTTCCTGCAGGAGTAAGCAGACAGTTCTCAGACGAAACAAGACAAGCGGAGGGAAAGCTTGTGGTTCTACACTCCCACTCAAAGTGTCTTTTGTGCCTTTTTAGCATCCAGATGTAACAGCTTGAACAAAGCAGAAGAGAACTCATTAGAATGGAAAAAAGACATTTTCAGGGTAAGCTTTTAGTGTTGTGTGTGTGTTTCTTTGCCAGGGCAGGGTGGCTTACAGAGTATTGTTCACATTACTTAAAGCATCTTTTTTTTTGCCTTTCATTTCCCTCTCTGCTATTCTTTCCTCCACCCATCTCCGGCTCTTCCCCCTCCTGCTTCCACACACACCCTGCTCCTCTCCGGGTCTCAGCTGTTGCATTTATGAAAACAAGACACTCGATTATGTTCGACTCATCGTTGTCCAAGCTCCATCGGAAACCTCATAATTCCTGCACGGCTTACATCGACCCAACATTTTCTGATATGAGGCCTGAGGCTTGATGGATGATTGCACTTCAAAGGTGTGTGTGTGTGTGTGTGTGTGGCGGTGGCAGCGGAGTTGGGGATTAGTGGCCAATTGATCACTGTGATTGGCTTGCAAACAACAAGCTGTCATTCTGGACATGAAGGCCATAAATCTGTCCGTGGGGAGCGGGCTGATTGTGTTATTTGGTGCCCTGGACCTGTTTTGGCTGAGTTTGAAATGGGAGAGGTCTGGGTGTCAGGACTGATTGTGTTTAGGCCGTTGGACATTACAGGTAATGAGATTTGTGCCGTGGCGGGGTGGGTGGGTCACCGGGGTCTGTTTAGGGGCGGAACACGAAGAGAGGAAAAAAAAAAGAAAAAGAAGGGCAACCGGTTTCATGTTGAGCAACAAGGACAGACTTTACACGCACAAGAATTAACCTTCATTTATATTTATATGCCACTATTGCACGTCATTAACCTTGTGTCTCCTCTCTCCTGTCGCATAGTTTGGACTTTGTTCTCTTTCTTTCTGGGGATATTTTTGGCTTCGGAGCTGCATGATTTGTGGTTACTGACTCCACCAACCTGCTTCGTCACATTGTTTCTGACTGCTCATCTTTTCTCTGTGGTTGAGGCAGAGCGCTGTTTTCCCTCCTCGCTGTCTCCAGGAGCTTCCTCAAGGAGGGGCGGGGGGGATTTTTGGCTCTGAGGGTCTTGACCTTACTTTGTAAAGCTCCCTTAGATTACATGTGTTTCCACTTGGTGCTATAGAAATGGACTTGAATCAAAAAACTGCAATTTATTTTCATGAATGTTTGATTTTTTATTTATTTGTTAATGTTGTCAGATTCCTGTCAATCAATTTCAAGCAATCCAAATAATAATAAAACCTGATGCTGGTTTTATTTTACTTCTGTTGCTCATTCAGCTGAAAATATGAAACAGTTATCCCATCTTTCTTTGCCACCATTTATTGGAGGAAGATATATACATCACATTAATCCTTTTGATTATTTATTTTGCTTTAGAATGCTGACAACTCTGCTATTGTTCAGATGAGTCACTCGAGCATAAAAGCAAGAAAGTGTGTCGACAGATTTAACCGTAACTGCCACACTATTGCCCCAAGTTTAATTGTAGAATGGAAGGAGAAGAAAGCTCTGCACTCAAATCAATTATGAAACCAAAAACAAAAGGAATCATCAAATCAGTTAAATGCTTATTATCAGTCATAAAATTTTGCTTTCTTTTTTAAATTATACAAAAACAAGAGAAAATACAAAGATACACGCATAATAGAAGCATCCTGAATCTTTAGTTTTTACCCCACACAATTTCAATAATACAGTCTTCCAGGAAAAAAAATCTTAGATCAGGTGAGGAAAAAAGAAAAGCAGTGATGGGTGAGAGAGGGGGGAGGAACAGACGAAGCTTGGGTGAGGAGGGAGGGAGGAGTGTGACGGTGATGGGGGGGAGTGTTGGTGATTGTTTCCCATATTTCAACAGTGGTCCCACAGACAGATCTCCATACGAGACCACCGGCTGCTCTGGTCTGTGTGTGTCCGTCATTCCCGCCAAGGAGGGTAGGAGGGCTTCATACAACTCGGCACAGAGCGCCAGTTTCTCTCATCTTTTTCTTCATCCTCATCTCCTGTCCTACTGTGACTCTATCTCTGTCTTTTTCTCTTCACCTTTGTGCTCAGCATCTTTGCTTTGCTAACTTATCGCCAAAGGTCTGCATAAATATGGTCAGCATCAGTTCAGAAACTGAAAAGCATCAGCACTGGAATTAAATCGTCCAAAGTGACACCCGGAGGAGCTTTCATTTGCCATTAAAGGTGAGTGTTTCATTTTCTGAAAGAATGTTTCTTCTTTTGTTACATTTTTTTTTTTTTTAGTTGTCATTTGACAGAAAATTTAAAGATTAAATAACTACATTTTTTAACCATGCAATGTTGAAGGTTTAAATGAAATGACATGATTCCATTTTTGAAAACATATTTTTTAAGGAGAAAAAAAAGAAAATAAGAATTAAACAACAACTCAAGGCCTCATTGATACCTTTTCTAATAAAAAAGAAAACTAAGTTTGTGAAACAAGAATGAACTGTAATCAGAATTAAATTTGGTGTACAACACATTGTGTGTGCGTAGAAGACGGGCCAAACCTGTAGGCAAAATGGCGATCAACAAGTGTGAAATGAAATGAGCGGGCAGTGACGACCTTGTAGAGATGCTCCCTCGTCCCATGTTGTTCCCTCAGTCTGGATCTCATCGCTCTTTATTGCTATTTTTCCACTCTCACTGAGCTCATTCTTTATATAACTTTGAAGCTTGAAAATAGTTTTTGAACCCTACTTGTGACGTATTTGCCATCACAAACATGTTAAAACATTGATTGGTAATTACCTAGATTATTTTTTATTTCTCTTAATAGCTTAAGCCTTCAAAAGGTATTATTTTCAGTTACTGTTGCCTATTTTTTGTCGTAGTGTTGCACTGAGTCCTCCTTGATGCATTTTTTTAATTTCTAATTTCCCATTAAAGGAATAATAAAGTTCCCCATCCAATATTTTCCGTCAAATTTTGCACTCAAGATTCTGCAGCTTCGCCTGTCCTCTTCTGCAGGCTCTTCACCACCAAAGGCTGAGCAGCCCTTCATGCTGACAGAGAGGGTCCCTGTCGGCGTGATGTCCTCAGTTGTAGCCCCCGAAAAGCCCGCCTCCAACACCATGGGTCCCAAAGAGGTGAGTGTGGATCTGAGACACATGTAGTGGATTCATGGGTCAGCTTGATGAAGAAAACCTTATTGAATCACTGCGTGGTGCCAGCTTCTTAACAGTCAGACTCAATTTAATTTACTGTTTTAACTGTAAATAGACTCAAAAACAGAAATATTTGTTTACCCTTCACATGCACTTATTGTACAGTATGAAGGACCTAGTAAAGAGCTTTAGCTGATGCATGAAGTGCAGGTCACTTTCTGTCATGTGTGGG